AGACATACGGGGTAAGCTGAGAACGTGGTTGAGTTCTGTAATGCGGTGCATTACAAGGCCTTTTCAGAGAGTGTTGCGCTATTTGCAACACCTCAGAAAAGGCCATCCCTGTCCCTTGCCGCCCCGTAACCAGCTGAAAATACGTAATATTAACGCGCCTAATGCGAAAATCATATTTTCCCTTACATGCCAACCACAACTAAACAAACAAGAAAAACAGACGAGCTGTCGCGATCCGACGGATAAAAAAAAAAAGAGAGCGCACGAGAGAGAGAACACATACACACACTCCTGACCACGTGTTGCCGGCGGGCAAGAAAAACAAGAAAAACTTGACTGAAAAGTGCAGCGGAGGTGCACGTAACGACACGTACCGACCCGTTACACTCCCAGACACTGACACTGACACCCGGAGCACGCTGACATTCCTGGGGCGAACAGAAAATCGCCGATGAAGCGGCAGCCAGCAATCAGCTGAGTCGGGCTGCTGCGCACCATCGACGACACCCTGAACGCCACACACACACTGGATATGAACTACTGCCGACACTCACATACAACACTCCGAAACCGCACACGACCGAAAAACGGAGCGCTCCAGGAGGCGCTACGACTACCGGCACCGAGACACGAGGTGCACGCGTTAGAGAGTAGGCGGCCATTTTAGAACGCTAAGCTAGATAGAGCGGCAGCGCGGTAGACTAAGCGGGAGTGCGAGCGAGATAGACTAATTAAGGGGAAGAGAGAGCGAGATAGATAGATTACTAAAGGCGCGCCTATAGTTGACTCAAAATTACGATTTATTTGTACGCGTATGCGAATTAATTGTAATTAAATGTAAGGCGATTTGAAACTTGTTTTAAATTTAGAACTGACTTAAATATAATGTATTAATTGAACCGTATCGTACGGATTAAATAATGTATGTAATTTCGCAAACTCTTATATATACTTGAAAGCGATAAGCCGCGCATTTATTGAAATTAATAGCTAGCCGATGAAATTTGAAACTCGGACGAAATTTGTTGATGACGTCACGACCAATAGGCAAATCATTAGAATATTTGATTTCCGTCCTCATCAAAATTCCGACAAGAGTAGGGATGAATCTCTCTCTTAGATTAAATGCTGACCGACCTAGTGGGGGGTGAGAGAGGGTAAAATTTGATGCGTAATAGATAAGACGAGGGGCGCTGTTACCTTCTTAATTTATATATTGACCAATAACGACACATTCGGAGGGCGCTACCGATATCCGAATTTACATATCGGCCAATAATAGTGTTTCTTCTCGGAAAGAGGAGAGAATGAGAGATCTTTGACCGCGGAGAACCGTTTCTCTTCCATTTTGCCACTGGATCTCACCAAGGACAGTTCCGAGCGTAGAATAGTGATAGCGAACCTAGCATATTTCTTTTCTTTGTGAAGGATTTATCGCCGCATTAATTCCAAGTAAGTAGTTGAAGTGTGACTGACCTTCGCGAATAGTTAGGACGCTAGGATAGGAGTAGACCGTAATTCGCCGAGGCGCGTGGATCCGTAGCGGTCGCGATTGCGAGTTCTGACCGAAGCGCGTTGACCTTCCGCCATTTCAGTGCGCGATGTATGGCCTTACGAATAAATGAAGTTAACTTGATATTGCGTTCCGGTAATTTCACCTAGATCCCAATATTTTCCCTCTGCCAATTATTTTCAGCCGCGGACGGGATATTACAAGTGAAATTTGAATTAATTTTCTATTTACGGTAACGAAACGTACGATTCGACGAAACACGACCTGAAACAAAGGAGTGAGAGCTAAGCGGCCGGATATCCTCTGTGGTTCTGCTGGAAGCTGGATATTGGATGAAGGATCGATTTGAACGAGAATGTCAGGACAAACATCGTCGGAGCTTTAAGGAATTTTTTTTTTAAGTTTCGAACAGTTTTGAAACTTTGAAATTTCATCGCCCGCTCTGCGCAGTCGCACGGCGGGCCATTCTACCGACGAATTCGCCGTTGACACGATTTTCCAACGATCACTGTAGGTAAGGGCGGTGACCTGACGCCCTGCTACCAAAGTTCGGAAAATCACGTCCAACGGAAATTGGTGTTGGCGATTTTAGCTGGTGAGGCCTACGCCCCCCGAAATCCCCCTTCACAAGTTTACGTGATCATCGTAAATGTGTCGTAAACTGACATCGTCTTGACGAAATATCGCCAACAAATTGACATTGTCTCTGATCAAACGTTTTGGAATTGTTGCGTATGATTGATGCAGATAAAAACAATTTACATTTTTATATCTACCCATGCAGAAGAATACTCTAACGTTATCTTGTTTTTCAGTGACATGCTATTTGACAATGTCATCAAATAGTATGATTGAGCTTTATCCGGTGTGGACTTTATTACTATCTCATGTTCATTGAAAAGAGAGTAATTGACTCCATCTGTAGGCTTTAAAAGTTTCTTAAGAAATTTTGATTTCGGTTGATTGAGTAACTAGGAGTAGGCGTAGATGTTATCAAACCGTAGGGCATTCGGATAAGTAATTAGGTTGAGTAAGCTGTTTGTTTTTCCGCAGTTCGATGGACCACAGAATATTGCACGTATACTGTTTGGCAGCAACACTCCATGCCGCTTGTCACGCTTGTTTTGTTCCACCACTCTGTCAAAGGTTACGACTGGAAGTCTCAGTGACTGCTTCTCGAAATCCATGTGTATCGTTTGTTATCTTAACTACTACTGAACCATGAGTATAAATATGTGCGCTTATATACCGCGGAGCTCAGTCAAACAGCAATTGTCTAACAGTGATGATCAAATATCTCAAACGACGAAGACGTGGCATTATCAACAAACTCATCAACTCGCTTTCGTTCGAACTTCATTTGCCAGGAGGTTATCAGTAATGTGGTCCAGGAACACGACTAAAATAACGACTAGCACGTTGTGATCCAGGTATTAATGCTTTTGATGCAGCGTGCAAGAAACACGATATCACGTACTCGCAAAATGGAGAAAACATTACAGCCAGAAACAAAGCAGATAGAGTTTTGGCTAATAAAGCTTTGAATAAAAAGCTGGCAAAGGACAGCAACTTTGATGAAAAAGCAGTAACATACGCTGTAACAAAGGTTATGAAGATTAAAAATACCTTCGGTATATAAGCTCAAGAGCTATAAGGTCTCAAGAGGAAACGAGGCTTTACTATGAAAAAAAGTATTAAAGGAGTTGGAAAGAAAGAAAAAAAGACCGTTTGCAGAAAGAAAAATAATGGTACTAAATTGAAAAGGAAGAAAAGCATTACACTGAAAAAAATTGTAAGCACTGCCTCGAAAGCTGCAGTAATACTAACTAATAGATCAGTTATAGTTATTCGCTCAGCTTTGAAAGCTGCTAAAGAAGCTGTAAATATGGCTGATGGTAAAGATCGTGTTATCATGCCTCGACTATTACCAGTTCCAGCGAAAATTGGTGGTGTGCTACCATTTCTCATTCCACTATTTGCTAGTTTAAGTGCAACTGGCGTTCTCGCTGAAGGTACTGTTGGTACAGCAAAGGCTGTCTATGACACAAAAGTTGCTAAAAAACAATTAGAAAAAACTCAACGACACAATCAGACAATGGAAGCTATCACTATGGATAAAGGTTTGTACTTAAAACCTTACAAAATAGGTGTATATTTGAAACCGTGGTCGGAAAGAGGTTTACGACTTGATAAAATATGCTAAACTAATGAAGATTTTAAATTTGCGTCGAGTATTTATAAGAAATGATCTACCTACTGGAGGTCCTCACTACAGGGAATCAGTAATTATTAATTTAGATGAAAAAAAGGGACCTGTATTCGGTAGCCTATTGCAAGACAGGCAAGAATGCTGTCTAGTTTGACAGTTTTGGTGATCTATAACCTCCAGTGGATTTATTCCTTTATCCGAATGTTGAAAAAGTCAAACACAATCACGAAAGATATCAAGATTATAATATTTATAACTGCGGTCATCTTTGTTTACAGTTCTTGTCAAATAAATTTAGCGAATGGAAAGCTATATAAGGAGCTGCATATAACAATAACGAGTTATTCAGTTGAGAACTATTATGGAGAGCTCACTGACATTGAGTTTTTCAGGTACATCATCGATATTCGAGGTCTACTAATTTCCTCTAATGGAGCTATCACCGAACGACGGATACGTCTTAGGCTTGATAAAATTGTTAACGTTCAACTCTATACCAAACATCGAATCACCTAACAATAAATATTACACTGATGACGAGGAATTTATTTTACCCGAAGGAAACTACGAAATCGAGGAGATTCAGGACTCAAAAATGCATTGGCTGATAAGAGCCCGCGTAAAACAATGAAAAGTTTTCCCAAACTTTTGCCAAACTTACGTTGGCTGAAGTTTGGGAAAACTTAAAAATTGAGACGATGCCAAACTTACTGGTTTATTGGCTATGTTTGTGTCAAGTTTGGCAAAACTTTTTACTAACTGTAGCCATTGATACATTTTTTTAATACTTTTTTAACCGACTTTGGGCGATGTTTGTAAAAACTTCGAACAAACTGAATTTTAAGATTTGCATTCACAAAGCTCAGCCAAACGTTATACAAACGTAGCTATAAAACATTTAACATCATATATCTAGTTTGGGATAAAGTTTGCCCAAACATTAGCTAATTATTTTTTATTTTCAATCGGAATATAAAGTTTGGCAGAACTTTATCAAAACTCGAAACCCGCAATTTGATTCGATTTTTTCGTCATTGTCGTAAGTTTGGCAAAACATACAACAAACTTAATTTCAATTGACCGTTTTTTACAATATTTTATTTGTGTGTTTGGCTAAACTCTATGTAACTTTTGAAGGTACACCATCCGTATCTCTTAGTAGCTAATAGGATTTTAACGAAATAGATTATTCGATCTACAATTAAATATCAAACAGTGTGGTTATGTTTTTAAGATTTAAAATATTTGAATTTTGTAATTTCACAATCAATTTAATAATTAAATATTTTTGTCTTGATAATCATGAATGTTTCTTATATTTTTTATGATGTTCTGTTCTATTTTCGTATTCCCACTCATCTCCCCATTGACGTTTCTTTCTTTCTCTTGTGCCTTGTTTGCCCTGGTCACTTCGTACTTATCGCGATATTCCTTTTCAACTGATTTTTCTCCTTTTTGGTCGCATTTGCTTTTCTTTCTACGTTGTTGCTCTTCCTCGTGTCTTTTCTTTTTATCATCACTCTTACTTTTGACTTCATCCCGATTTTTCCGATATTCTTTTGCTCCTATTTTCCCGTCTGACCCTTCATTTTTTTTTCTATCTATCTTCTTTTCCTCATACAGCCCTTTTCCATCAGATCTTCGACTCTCAACTAGCAGTTCGGTATCTTTCTTGCCATGTTGTTCTTTCTCATGTCGTTCCGTTCCATCAGATTCTTTTCTTTCGCTCTTCTGTTCGACCTTCTCGAGGCTTTTTTCTCTGTTTTGCCTTCTCTCTTTATTAACCTCGTTTATACCATCTCGCTGTTTCTCAAATATTGGTTCACTGCTTTTTCTGCGATAATTTTCATTCATGTATCGTTCCTTATCATACGGCTCTTTTCGCTCGCTTGTATGTCTAACTCTCTCCTTGTCTTGCTTTCTCTCTTCATTCTGGCAAGATTTACCAGCCTGCTGGTGCTCGATCTCATGTTTGCTGTTCTTTTTACGATGCTCTTCCTTGTTGTACCGTTTCTTTGCATCCCCCTTACTCTCAGCCGACTGTCCACTCTCATTATCTCTCTCTCTCTCTCTCTCTCTCTCTCTCTCTCTCTCTCTCTCTCTCTTCGTGCTCTTCATTACTTTTTCGTTGTTTCTCTATCACAGATTCGCGATTTTTTCTGAGATGCTTTTCCTTTGCGTGCCCTTCATTTCCATCAGATTCGTTTCTTTCATTCGCTTTTTCGTTTCTCAGTAGACTTTGTTGATCTCCCTCATATTGCCTCTTTTCACCAGGTTTGCTCTTCTCATTAAACTGCTTATTCTTGTCGCCTTCTCGTTTTCGCACCTCGGATTTCTCTTTCGTACTAGAACCTTGCTGTTCATCTGCTATTTCGGTATTTTGATCACTCGAATTGTCTTCTCTACTGCTCACTACTATTTCTTCCTCATAATTTTTACTTTTACTGCTGTTACTTCCTTTGCCTGTATATAAAATGTTTATTTACACTCATTGTTATATATCAGTTCATTACATTTTAACATTTTACCTTTAGTATTTTTATTTCGAATCTCTTCCATTGTTCGTAAATCACCTTCTGTCATATTCTTGAAGCTACTATTAGTTTGATTCGAGTGAAACTTTGTTTTTTGCGACAAACTTCGCCTGGAAGATTTAACCGTAGAATTGCCGTTGGCCATACAAATATTGGTTCCTTTTTTGCCTTTTGGATTTCTCAAAGTTGCGCACTTGGATGTGATGACTGCAGTATATTGTTCGTGAGTAAGCCTAAACTGAGGTTTTGTGTTCAAGTTTACAAAGCCTATATGGATTCAAATGGAAATATAATTATTTAGTCTTCTATTAAAGCTTTACTATATCGTAGATATCAGTGAATATCAAACGAACTAACAATATTTTCTTTATAAATTCACCTTTAATAAATACTGTGATGTAGAAGAAAATATACGAAACGATAAATTTATCGTTCTATTTTTATATTTTAGCATTACGATACTTATAAGAAGTAAGTGCGTAGAGCAAATGTTGTCCATTCGTTTGTGTATCTATAGATATCTATATAAGTTATATAATTTAATTTTTACTTTGAACATCTTCAAAAATATTTTCGGGGATGGGTTCCCTGTTATTTCCCCCCTTTGCAGATGATTTTTTCAGCATATCGATTCCAATAAGATCAACTAGTAAACGACGAACCATTTCTTTAGGATTTTTTCTGTACGAAGTTCTGTAAACGCTAAGTTTCCATTCGGGTAATTTGCACTTGGAGCCCTCTACTATTGGAACCTAAATTATACAATTTATATTATAAAATTGAATGCACTATTCAGACATCTTCGAAAGTCGTATCTTACCTCTCGATTTTTGGTGAAACCAGCTTTTTTATTAATGTTCTGCAAAACAAATATGAGCAATAAAAAAATTTTGAAATTTTTCAATCTAATAATAGTGACTTACATCAAGGTCTTTTAAGACTTCTGGGTTTATGGCTTTAGCAAGGTCCAGTATCATTTGCAATTTTCGTATATCTTCTTCGGTAACTATAACAATAAAAAAAAAGGATTATTTTAAGTGGTTGAAAATTTAAATCTTTAAAATTAATTTTATTTGCTCACTATTTGGAAGCTGTGAACATATACAATTTCGCTCTGCGCCCTTCTTATTCTCATTTTCGTTGCCCTCGTGCGTCATGACGACATTGTCATCCGGCTCAGAATAATTTCTTCCATCACTCTCTTCCAGGTCTAATTCATCTTTCCTACATTAATAAACGACATAATTATTATTGTGTACCTAAATAGTAAATCAACTTTTACATTGTTATGTTTAAGGGGGTGCCACACCTCTGTTTTACCGACTTTTTTTGGGGCGTATTTTCTCCAAAAGTACTTAACGGCGCAAGTGGAGATTTTCACAAAAGTTTCATTTTTGAAGAAGAGAGAAAAATCGTCATCTTGATTATTGAATAAGAAATAGGCATGATTATTGGAGACGAGTAGGCATCGATCGATCAGCTGGTCGTCGTAAGCATTGTTTATCAATGAAATGTTCATACAGTTTGTAGATCACGCATAGCAACGCGGCGCGGCAACGCTTTTTTTGATCGGAAAAAATTATTAATCAGATTTTCTTGTTGGATATTTTTTTGTTTGAAACTTCACCAACAAGATGACCGTACTTCGCTCTCTTTTTCAAAAATGAAACTTTTGTGAATGTCTTTACTTGCACCGTTAGTACTTTTGGAGAAAATACGTCAAAAAAAAAGTCAGTAAAACAGAGGTATGGCACCCCCTTAAGCTAATTAAAATCTGTGGACAGGTTTGACGCGCTTGTATGATCAAGCTTTCAATTTAAAGAATGGTTAATTACGAAATATTTAACGCGGACGAGTTTTAAAATTTCACGATACGCAATTTTTTCTTAAGATACTACAGCTCATATACAAGTACAAATTCGTGTATGAACAAACATGCGCCGTATGGTATAATGAGTACCGCAATGAAAGCTTTTTTATAGTGTTGAGTCTTACCTTTCATTTTCACTGTCATCTTCTGAAAAAATTGATCGTTTTTCCAAAACCTTGTATCCCTGTGCTCTTGACGCCTTCTTATTTAGTTCGTTCAACCTCTTGTTCTCCAAGCGATTAGTTTTTTTCGCTGAAGGCCGCGACATTTTGTTGCAGTTCCTTATCTCACTATTGTCTAAAATAATGCCTTCTTTTGACACGTGCAATGAATCGAGCCACTCTTTGCTACCTATTTATTAAAAATTAATTATTAGATAACGTATAGTTTAAAGAAGTGCATAGGATTCGTTAAAAAATCAAACATACAAAACTTTTGTAGGTTTTAAGGTACTTACTATTGACACGTATTACTTTTACCGGGTAATAAGAATCACCCCACTTTGCAGTGACTCCGTTACAATTTTTTTTAATCTGTGTTATTGGAATTGTACTCACGTCTCTAGTATTAGACCATAGAACCAATACGTATATCGTTTGCAGAAATTTTCTGCGGTTATGTAAACGAAAGGTTAACATTCGAAGTACGACATGAAATCATCGATGCCTTTTTTTTTGAATGTTTTTATAGCCTTAATAACCTTGCGATGTGTCTACACATGTAACTACACATGATAGCTTCCACGAACTGGTAAGTATTCATTTCAGGCATAAATTATAATTAATAGAATGAATAATACAGTAATAAATTAAATATTTTGCAGGGTGAATTTTCTATATTCCCATCATGAATGAAGGGCGTACTTTTGAAAGCTATTCGCGGGCATCTCGGTATCGCTATATCAACAGGCTCAGGGCAAGCAATTCAGAAAGTGAAAGTTCTAATGATTCCACAAGTTCAACAACTGTTAGTGTGAGTGATTTTATTTTTAGTATCATATCAAAAAATTGCATTGTGCTTAAAATCATATTAGTAAATCATAGGTTTTAACATAAAATATTTCATGGGACTTTTCTAAAATTACATTTAAAGTTTTACTACCCACGTAGTGCTTGAGTGTAAACAACTTTTTTTCCCCACGGTTGTACCTAAAACATATTAATTAAGAATTACGAATTTTGTTTTGTTCAATTGGCATAAACACAACTAATATTAACGCTTATGTTTCTGTAGAATTACTCCGACACAGACTCTGAAAGCAATGAAGGTAATGACACCGACGATAATCATAATGAGCAGGAGAGCACTTCGAGCGATGCTGATATTGGAGATCGACAAAGCTTAGAAAATGCGCACGAAAATAATAATGATGATAATGATTCTACGTTCGAACAGCAGGGTAAGATATTATGATCACTCGATTCTAGTGGAAAACTTGTACACTTATTAATTTCTGCACGATATCAATCCATGAGTTTAGTCTCTTTTCTAACTACTATAAGTACAGTAAAATAATAATCTCATTTATATTTTTATCATTTATGTATGCTAATTTATAAGTCCGCGCATGAAAAAGTGTTATTAGTAGGCACGTATAATAATCTCTGAATTCGCGCGACTATTTAAATATATTTTGATTATATTAGTGGTTTTTGGAACATAGGGAATAAAAAATAGATCAAACCTCCGTTTTTTTTGTATTATTAATTATGTTAACAGAGAAAAATAAAAAAAATGACGCTTTTATCATTCCGCGTAATAAAGGGTTTTAAAGCAAGAAAAAGCGATGTTACTGTTACAGAGTGGTCGCGGCTGGGTACGGCACAGTGACTCGCGACGGGTTTTCAATGTAGGTTATGATGAAGCTGGGTGCGCTTTAACTCCTCGTTGTAGATCGGCATGTCGTGCCGCTCTAGTCCCGGCAGGTAACACTCGGGCGACTACATCTGATCTTCGGTGATCACACTCTTGAATGTGCGCGCGGAGGTCAGCTGTAAATCTCGTCAATTTTCTTTTTCTCTCTTGGATACAAGCGACGTAAATACAATCGTCCTACGTGTTTATTTCACACATCACACGCGTCTTACTCTCCGGCTCATAGAGCGTAATAATGGCGTAAGAAGAAAAGAGAAGAGAAGAAAGTAAACAAATATCAACAAGATCTACGACTGATTGAAATCACATTCAAGAATTTAAAAACCTAGAAAGCGACTCTTATTTTTCCCGGCGCGCCGACCTAAGTCACCTGGCCGCACTCAGCCTTCGACCAAGCCGCTGCAGCTGCACCCCGACTCTCTCTCTCTCTCTTTCAGTCACATTCGAACCCTTTTTCTTGCGCATTTTGGGAAATACATTTGTCAAATGAATTTATAAATTACTAAAACTTTAATGTAACTGTACAGAATCTATTGATGAACCTCAGAACTCCAGCGAAGAAGACGAGAGTGTTTCTACCAGTGATAGCAGCTCATCAGCATGCAGTTCGTCTTCCGAGTACTCGGATACGGAAGATAGTGGCGAAGAGGAGTTTACAATTACAAACGGCGACGAACCCTTGTATCCTGGAGCCCCGATAACGACAGCAGAAAGTATTATGTCAATTTTCACTGTCATGTCGAGATTTGAAGTCACGGGAGCTCTAATAACAGCTATTCTCGAGCTTATATCGTTACACTGCATAGAACCAAACTATTGCGTGAAAACTTTGTATAAACTTAAACAATTTTTCGCGAATATTCAATGTCCCTTAGAGAAACATTTTTATTGCTCAGCATGTTTTACATCAATAGAAAACGAGCAATGCAACATCTGTCAACAAAATACTAAAATTGACCACTTTCTGCGAATTCCAATAACACCGCAATTAGCTTCGTTTTTTAAGCGTCCAAATTTTAAAGAAAATCTAAATCACCGATTTACACGAATTAAACAAAATATTGACAACTATATAGAGATAGAACTGAATCTTACGTATTAACAAATACAAATAACATTGATGATTTACTGTATTATTTGAATTTTGATGGTAGAATGTTTGTTGTAGAGCGAGCAAATACCCTCGAAAGAGAAACAGGTTAAATAGTATCGAACTACTTTTTTCTAATAAAAGTAAAATTGATTGTGAAATTACAAAATTCGAATATATTAAATCTTAAAAACATAACCACACTGTTTGATATTTAATTGTAGATCGAATAATCTATTTCGTTAAAATCCTATTAGCTAGAGATACGGATGGTGTACCTTCAAAAGTTACATAGAGTTTAGCCAAACACACAAATAAAATATTGTAAAAAACGGTCAATTGAAATTAAGTTTGTTGTATGTTTTGCCAAACTTACGACAATGACGAAAAAATCGAATCAAATTGCGGGTTTCGAGTTTTGATAAAGTTCTGCCAAACTTTATATTCCGATTGAAAATAAAAAATAATTAGCTAATGTTTGGGCAAACTTTATCCCAAACTAGATATATGATGTTAAATGTTTTATAGCTACGTTTGTATAACGTTTGGCTGAGCTTTGTGAATGCAAATCTTAAAATTCAGTTTGTTCGAAATTTTTACAAACATCGCCCAAAGTCGGTTAAAAAAGTATTAAAAAAATGTATCAATGGCTACAGTTAGTAAAAAGTTTTGCCAAACTTGACACAAACATAGCCAATAAACCAGTAAGTTTGGCATCGTCTCAATTTTTAAGTTTTCCCAAACTTCAGCCAACGTAAGTTTGGCAAAAGTTTGGGAAAACTTTTCATTTTTTTACACGGAAGTATAAAAATTACTCTCAAACCTAACAACAGTAGTCGTCGTAATATCATCAATTGCAGTCATACAGTTGATTTTCGAAAAGAAAATTCTATTGGACCACTGTTGGGCTTTGGACAATGAGAACTGTCACCCAACATTTCTTATCACTCAGACTCACCTATTTACACATTAAAGATTAATTGGGAGTAGAGTGTAACCTCACTTCTGAAGCATATATAAACAAACATAAAGGAAATAGCATTCACGAATTTTTTCCAGCTGTCCCACGGGGATATAAAATCGTTGATGTACCTACTCATGTAATTTATAATCCGATAACTAGCAAGTTCACTAATCATCAACAAATACGTATTGTTGATCAAGACGGCAACTTAGCAAACATTCGAGGAGAAGTCATCACGGTCCGAGTTCACATAAAGACGATAACGTAATGGACTCAGTGGTCAATAGAAAAGTTAGGAGTGGCTTTATAAGTAATCCACCACGTCAACGAAATATCAGTTGGTAGCGAACTACCAGAGCGCTAACACGTCGAAACATATAATTCCTGAGAAGTCTCGGCCTAAGGGTCGTAAGCAAGTGTGACGAAAGCAAGCGTTGCGCTTGTTCTCGTCAGTATTTTCCCCAATTCCCCCTCTCTCGGCAAAGCACGGTAACCAGTGTTAGGCTCATTTAAGAATGAGCCTAATGCATAGTCTTTGTTTCAGCCGACGGAGATTGCCGAGCGAGACCGAGCCGGCCTGAAGCCATTAAGTGGACGACAAAGTATAGAGGTGTTAGAAAGGGAGAGAGAGAGTTAGATGCATGTGTACCCCACGCAATATTAGACAGGCGCGCGTTGCGAACCAACTAGCGCATTGGTCGCGCGCCGCCTAATAAGTAGGTCAAGTGGGAAGATAAAGAACGAGGAAGAAGAGTCGATCGCGGAAGCGAACGAGTGACACAGCTAGTGTATGCATTGTTTTATACTTTTCCGTTTTGAGGGTGGCATTGCGTAATCAAACATTACCACCCCTCTCTCTGGGCGCCAATAGGTTGGCATAGCCCACTGTCTTTCACTCCTTCGCTTTCAAACACTTTGGAGATCCGGAAGTCAAGTTTGCTACGACATCCCTGACGCGCACAGCGAGTCGGAACCTTTTTGATCTAAGGCGGCGACCTCCTCGAGAGGAGTACCGATCTTTTCACTGTTCGACGTTCAGGGAGAGCGGAACTAAAGGCTTGACCCTCGGTTTGGGTGCGACGGGACTCTAGTTGACCCAACGTCTACTACGTCGGAAGCACGCAGCATACAAATCTTACGAGATTTGCTTGACATGGTACCACTACCCCGCTGAGGCCAACCCAACTTGGGATGTCAGAAGAGAGATTCAGCTAGGACAGCTAGAGGAGATTCCTAAGACGATCAACCAGCTAATCCTCCCCTCCTGGGCTCGCGTTCGAAAAACATCCTACCCTGCGTACCTGTATTAAGGGATTGTTCCCACGACTCACAGGTACATCGCTTCGACGTGCCGGGGCACGTCTTCCCATTGCGTTTCGGTCATCCCCGCTCACGCTGGTGGGTATCCATCATTCGAAAGGTTGTTTCCCAATTTTCGCTCTAACTTCGGGTCTCGCTTTCTAAGGAGCGGCTTTTTATGACCGGCTGATACTGTTGTTTGCTCTTTAGATTTTATGTATCAACTTCTATGTCAAGGCGGGGTCTCGTCTAGCCGACAAGGCGATTCCCCGGGCAATTCTCAGTATTCGTGCGGTTAAGCCGCATATTCGAATCGAACTCCGACAGTTAGGCTAGATCGGGTATTATATCTCGCTTTCAAGTTATCGAGCTTCAGAATTCGATTCTGAGACTCGATGTTAAAAAATTATTGTTCAAAAATTTCAAGCTTTATAGGCTTGTCTTCGTTCAAAAATTAGATTATTGTGCGAGTTTTTGTCCTTTGGTTAGGGACCTCGTAAGAGGCGGCGCCTTTCTACTGTAGTTGGTAACTAC